TTGACTCAGTATGCAACTCAAGGCCAAAGTTATATTTAAAGTTTTAATTTTAATACCTGAAAAATCCATGAAAAAATGTCTTTGATCTGCAAGGCCTTTGCCCAAGGGCTGATAGTTCCTGAAATGCTGGAGACTATTGTTTATGGGAAATAACAAGCCACATGTTTTCACTCCCCTAAAAAAAAAGTTTGTTTGACCCATCCACCATCCACACCACATGAACTTGATCACACATGGGTGGGAGGTTCATGGGCAGGAAATATGTCAGGATGTATTCTTACACCAATTGATGTAGACAGGAAGTATGTAGGTGTAGCTAGAAGTTTCGCTGGTCCTGCCTGGGCCCTGCTGTCCCATGGCCTGCTTGTAAAATAATCACACAGAGGCTTAATAATATTTGTAATTGCTTGACCATTAGCTCAGGCTAACTACTGGCTAGCTCTTACACTTAAACTCAGCCCATTTCTATTCATCTATATGTCATCACATGTTTCGGGGCTTTACCTGTGTGTCATTACATGCTGCTCCCTAGACAGCGGGCTGGCATCTCCTCACTCAGCCTTCCTCTTCCCAGAATTCTCCTTATTTTCTTATCTCACCTATATTTCCCAGCTGGCTACTGGCTAATCAGTGTTTTATTTAACCAGTGTATAAAAGCATTATCCCATAGCATTTCCCCTTTTTTGTTTAATTAAAAAGGGAGGTTTTAACCTTAACATAGTAAAATTACATATAATAAACAGTTATGAAGCAAGAATTACAGTTACAATATCTAGTCTATTTGTATTTGGCAAAATCAAAGAAAATATTCTAATTATCCTATATTTGTGAGTCTAAGGCTTCATATCTAACTTATCTTTTATCCTAACCAAGGAAAATTATAACTATCTAGTCTTCAACTACATCAAAGACCTCAGAAGGATATAATATTACCTAAGTAAATAAGAAGTGCATTGTAAGAAACTTCCAAAAATCTAGTTAGGATAGAAAGTGAATTAGGTACAATTTGGACTCACCAAAATAGAATAGATAATGGAATATTTTCTCTGAATTTGTCAAATGCAAATGAACTAGACATTGTTGATGTATTTATTGATTGTATATACTGTATATAGTTATTGTACTTATTATATATAATTTTTCTTATGTTAGTTATAACTTTTGTATTTTTTATTTTTAATAGAAAAAAGAGGATGTGGTGATAATTTATTTGTGCTGAAATATGGTATTTTATTTATGCTTTAATAAAGCTTGCCTGGAGATCAGAGGGGAAAGGCCAGTCATTTTAAGTAAACAAAAAGTAAAGCAGCACATGCCCTTAATCTGATCACTTACCAGGCAGGGTCTCTGTATGTTCAAGGCCATACTAGGGAACAGAGCCAAGCATGGTGACACATGCCTTTAATCCCAGCATTAACCATAGAAACCTGGAGGTCTGTACAGGCAGTGACAAGGAAGCGAGGTAGCTGGGCGTCAAGGAGAGGGCACAACAGCAAAGCAATAAAAGCATGAATAAGACAGGAAGTAGCTCACATTTAGAAGCTGCAGATTTGGTAAGATAAGGTCAGCTGGTCGCTTTTCCTATTTCCCTGATCTCTCTAAGGCTTTCACACCTATATTTGGTTCCATATTTTTTATTTAATAAGACCATTTAGAAATTCATCTACATGTAGACAGGAAATATGTCAGGATATATGCTTGCACCTGATTGGACCTAATGGAAAATACTTAAAAACACTGCAAACCATGACTCAGGGCCATTTCCTGCAAACCCAAGTATAGACCAGACCAAAGCCCATCTATCTGCCCAGTATTTAATTAAAGCTTGCTTCAAATTTGGCTTTAAAAAAAGGAATAGGTCTATTGGATGAAAATACCACTCAACTATAGAGTCCTGAGCTAGCATTCACAAAGTCCCACATTCAATACCTAATAGTGTTAAAAAAAACTACTATTTACAATGTTTTTAGTTATTTCTTTATGTGAAAATTATTTAAATCACTGTCATTTCTGAAATGTAGTCTAAGCTATGTATAATATTTACAAAATAAACCTTCCTCACAGCATATGCTTCTTGATTATAGGTACCATGGATTCAGAGAAAAAGATCCTCAGGCATGAGATTTTGTGTTCCTCTATAGGTATTACAGCATTTCTTCTTCTCTAGTTTTAAGATTTTGTTGTGTTTTTATTTTCTTTCCTGAAATACAATTTTACAGAATGTCTGTGTGCATGCCACTGGATTTATCCTGACTGAACCTGCTGAGATTTTTGCATCTGTAAGGTTTTACCTTCTACCAAAGGCTAAAAAATTTTTCAGTTATTCCTTCTTTTAAGAGTTGGCAACACTATAACACTATTCTCCTTTTCACCTCTTTTTGGAATGTAATGATATATTTTTTTGAATCTTCTCTCCTCCCATTGACCATGTATCCAATGACAGTTTAATTTCCAAAATCATTTTTTTGTGTTATCTCGGTGTTTTGATTACTATAGCCCTGTAATATTGCTTGAAATCTGGGATGGTCATACCTCCAGCAGGTTGTTTGTTGTTGCTTGTTTGTTTGCTTTTGGTTTTTGTTGGTTTTGTTTCTCAGGATTGTTTTGGCTATCATTTTCTTTTGTGCACCCTTATAAAATGTAAGGTTTTTTTTCCTGAAGAGTTGGACTGGAATTTTTAATGGGAATCACATACCTAATTATCAGTGCTTTATTCCAAATAATTCTAAAAACCCTACAGTTCAACTCAAAGTGGCAGAATCCTCACAACATTCTTGCTTCCATGTGCTTAATGGGCACACATTGACAGTAGAGCCTTAGAGACACAGATACTTCATACCACAGGAAAAAGAAACATTCTGCACAGGAAAGCCTTGGATCTGTGATTCATGGGAGTTTACTTTCACATACTTTTTACCAATAAAGGATCACAATCATAGTATGAGAAGCTTTGGTGACTCTGAGCAGCAGATATTGGCACAAAAATTGAGTTTGTAGAGTACTATAGAAATTATTATAGAATTAGAAAAGTAAGCCACTTGGAAGAGGAAATTGTAAGAATTTTGATGGCATCTAATGAGAGATTAACTGAAAATACTGACAGAGCACCAGATGCATTGTTTATGGGTTTCAGAGGTATTGTAAGTTGTGAAACATAGTTCACTAAAGGGAGGAAGAGGTGATAGTGATTGGTGATTGACCTGAAGTTGTGAAGGGTTCTCCTGAGTCTGGAACCATCTCATCTTGTTGGCTAACAGAATAGACAATGTTTTCAATGTTTTTCAGTCATGTAAGGTCCTGCAAAGGCGATATAAAATTATGGATTTCTTAGTGCCCTATTGTGAAAAAATGTATCTGCTGAATAAATGAATAAATACTTAATTAAAAAATAATCATGGCAATCTCAAAATTAATTGGAAGAAAGGGGCAAGAATAGATGAACATGAGTGAGAGCAATTAAAGGATTTAGGTTGTCTTATAACCATAAAATGATTTATATGACAGAGATTATACAGTGTTCATGCCTAAGGATGTGGAAGCCATATGTCTTGTGGAGAATAATAATGTGTTTGCAGAAGCTAAGGAAGTAGTGACTTACGCACAACCTGTTGACGACACTTAGAAAAAATGCTTGTAAAAGCAATGGGATCTTCTCATACTTTCGGAACCCTTATTGATGTGTCCAGGATAGCTCAGAAGCTGAGTTGCAAAGTGAATTTCACTTGTATTGAGAAGGTAGCCGTAAATCTTCAGAGGCCATTCCTACCCCATCTGAAAAGTAGCACTTTATAATAATAACTAACATCTTATATTTTACATACTTAAATGAACTGTCAACATAGCTGTTAAAAATTTCAAAATAGATGTGATACATGGTGGAAAAGATGCACAAAAGCCTAAAATTACTGACAAATGATGAGATGCTTATTGTCCTGGCTATGTTTAATCAGTGAGGCCTCAAAGGCCTCCCACAGAACATATGCTCTGATGTTGCATAAGTCAAAACCTAATGTGATAAACCTACTGATGAAGATATAATAGGCTCTTGTTTCAGTGTATGGATGAATAAGGCTGGGCCTGAGCTAGGAACTCCCAATATACCTGCTGACTTGATAATTCAAAATGTATTAGGCAGGATACTTGGGTAAAGTGTTAAGAAATGACTTGCTAAGCTGTATGTTAACACAATTAGCAATCTAAGCAAAATATAATGGCTATTCCAATATTGGCATAACATTCATGGTACAACCAACTAATCACCTTCTGATTTAGTTTAAGACTTGTTCAAAATGGGAACCCACATTTTGTATTCTAAGCCATGCAAAAAATCTATTTATTTCTGGGGAGGTCCTATCCTTGTCCAATATGGAGGCTTTCACTAATATTTTGATAAATAGATGTTATGTGCCTATGAACTTTTCAAAATACATTTATACCACACATGACTACTGTTGTCAGCCTAGATACCAAAGACCAATTATACAGCTGATTGGTGGTTACTGGGAAAGAATCATATCAACTAAAATGGCACTATGTTATTGCTACTGTGGCATGGTGGCCTATTACTCATAAAGGAATCGAAAGAAAGCTTGTCACACATTTTATTGATCATGGAATTTTGCTGAAGAGTTAACAGAAAAGTGTAAGAGCCTGCAGGAAAGGATGAAGTGTTAGGAAATTGTCACATTCCTATGGAGTGACATCCGGGAGTGGTGATCTATGATCTAACTGAAGCCTAATTGAAGGCCAAGTGTAGAAATAAGGAAAACAATATAGATACAGCTAGGCATTCCATTATGGTGATAAGACCATCAACACTTCCTGAGGAGTCCCATGACCCTCACGTGGAACTCCAAATACCATTTCCTCCTGCAGCCCATCTCTGCACACCTTTGGGAGTGGTCTGATGGACTATATAGGTGGTGGACAGTAACTGACAGCAGGGTTCTGGAGAAGCAACTTCCCTCAGTTATTATCCACACTGCAGAGCTTTCTCAGAGATGCGGCTGTCTTTGACTCAAACCTGCTCCTGTAAGTATTTCTTCACTTTTGCCCCTCCACACTGAAAGAATTCATAATTTTACACCAAGCTCCACTTGGATAAAATGCTTTTTTGGTTTTATGTAGTACTTAGGAAAAAAATCTACAGTATTTGCTATAAAAGGCATAGGCACAGTAGACTCTTCCATCAACAGTTCTGAAGAGAGCCTTGTATGCTCCAGAGAAATGTAGCAATATCTAGGATGTGTGTTGTCTCTATTGAAGATGGGAGAACAAGGTATTCATATTACAAGCATCTCTTGTGTAGGAACTAGGGAGATCTTGGCACAATCTTCAATGCTCAGGACAGTCTCAGGACAAGGAATGGTTCATCTCAAAATCGGAAATTATCTAGAGTGAGAACACAGGAGTCAATAGGTACAAATTGTCACAATTCCAGAATGAAGCAAGTAACCTTTTCTGGTTCCAGCTCACTGCTCTGGACAGATGGACTTGAACTAACCTAATGAAACTTTCAGCTCACTGCTCTGGACAGATGGACTTGAACTAACCTAATGAAACTTTCAGTTCTCAGCCTAAGGTGGACAATATTTGCAGATGTGTGTCTTATACTCTCCTGAGAACTTGGTTCAAACCAAGTGATTTTGTAAAAAGAAAAGCATGCTAGTGGCATGTACTGGCCTTTATATTTTTGATACTGTATAGTGAAAACTAATTGGATGTGTGTGTGTGTGTGTGTGTGTGTGTGTGTGTGTGTGTGTGTGTATCAACAATTACTGAGAAAAGAGGCTATGAACTTGAAAGAGAGCAAAGAGGGGCACATGGAAGGTTTGAGGAAAGGAATGTGAGGAGAAATGATAAAAATATATTATAGTTTCAAAAAGTTAAAGAAATATAAAAAACTAAATTTGTAACAACTAAGAAATTTATTTTATGGAATTTGAAACAAAAAGAGTAACATATCTAGACTTATAATATCTCTTCAGTAAGCAACAGAAGATGTGTGTGTGTATTTATCAAGTGTAAATAAATTCATGAAAACATCATTTTCTTTGAAAAACTGAGATAATGTCAATTTTGACAAAAGTTTACTTTTATATTTAAAAGGGTTGGTTAACTAACTTTCACACTGAATAATTTTTCTGATATATTTAATTCTTTGAGATATTTGAGATTAGATATTTTCCATACCTTAATCTTAAATAATTCCCTCATTTTAGTTTGGATATTTCAAATTGCTTCTATCAAAAGGTTCTGTGGAATTTAGTTTCTGAGACTCACAAGTTTTTTGTATCATTTTGGATTTTTGTTTTGGGAGGCTTCTTTATATGTGTGTTTGGGTTTTTGCAGGTTTTCATTTTTGTGTGTACACATTTGTATTATGTGTGCATGTATACATATTGTCACGCATATGTATGATCCTTGGAGGCTAGAGGTCTATGTCAGGAATAATCTTTAATAGATTTATCTTATTTATTGAGGCATCTCAACTATAATCACAACTTACCCATAGGCTAATTTTTCTATCCAGCTTTCTGTGGTGATTTCCTATCTCTGCCCTTTAAGAAGGTTGGACTTAACAAGGGCCTCAACTTCCACCAGGCATTTGCTTAGAGTCTGGGAATTGTAACTACAACCTTCATACCTTATGGCAGAAATTTTAACTACTATGCCCAACTGGTACTCATATTTTTATTTCTGAAAATCCTCTGTGGTAATATCACTAAGGTTTAAAAGACTATTTAGCCAGGCAATGGTGTTACATGCCTTTAATCTTAGCACTTGGGAGGCAGAGGCAGAGGGATCTCTTTGAGTTTGAGGCCAGCCTGGTGTACAAAGCGAGTTCCAGGACAGCCAGGGCTACACAAAGGGACCCTGTCTCAAAAAATAGGAAAGAGAGAGGGGGGGGCGGGGAGGGAAGAAGGGAGGAAAGAAGGAAGGCAGATAGGCAGGCAGGCCTTTTTAATGTGGTACATACTTGATCTTGCCTCTTGAAAGGACAAATAACTAATGTTTTAGAGATCTATTGCCTGATGAAATCAGCACAGGTCATTGCCACAAGTTTGAAAAGTGGGTGTGATCAGAGCAGAGGTCTTAGCACCTGTCATGTCACGAAGGACAGAGCATTGGGGTGATTTTCATGGTGGATGATGTTTGTTCTCCCAAGCCAGCTCAAATGTACAAAGCTGTATGAAAGAGGGCTCTGGAGCTAGACAAGACTTCTCTAGACAGGGTGATGCATGTCACTTCACGTGGATCTTTCATCTTTCTCTATGGCAGGGGCACTCCTGCTGCCACTATTGTCAAGCATGCTTCTGTGGAAGAATGTGGCCTCTCTGCCCATGTGTGAAGTAATAAATGGGCATTGCCAGCTGACTCTTGAGTACTTGCTTAATCAGGCACGTGGCGTATCTGAAGATATCAACCGCCTCACCTTGGAAATGTTCAATGAGTTTGTAAGTATCTCACTTACTTTTGGCTTCTCCCAAGAGGAGCTTTCAAAACAATATCTGGGTGGCACTACAGCTCAGTGAAGAAGCACTGTCATATGAATATCATATAACACACCTTCACAGGCACAAGAACCATCTGCCACTGAAGCAGAACCAGAAGAATGGAAGTTTGGTGAAATCTTTAAATTTAAGGAGGAAAAAGTCTTTAAATGATTTTTCTCTAAAAAAAAATTTATATTTTTAGTTAAAAATTTTCCACTTATGACACAAAGCCCTATAATATTTGGCTAAAAAGAATCTCTGCCTTCCTTTTGGGGGAGCAGGGGGCCAGTTCCCATCAGCATTTTTCACTTAGTGCACAGCAAATACCAATAAAGCAGAATGGTTTGCAGGGGATGGCTTGAATTGAGGAGAGTTAAAATTAGAGACATAATGCTGGAAGAAGAAAATCAATAATGATAATGATGATATTAATAATAATGGCTTCTCAGAAATCCCCAAACGTGGGAGACATTGTAAGATGTGAGTTTGTCAATTTGAATGGAAGTGTTTTACAAATTCCACCTTCTAGATGAAGGTTCTTTATCCCTCTAAGTCAGTTAAGGTGGTAACAACAGACAAGGACTTTAAACAATAAGGAGCTTGTAACACAGGCCTTTCAATTTGTGTGATAAACATGTTCCTAATTAATCACTGAAGATTCACTCGTTCTGCAATCTTGACTGACAATCTTTCAACTTGATAGGATCCCTATTAGTTCAATATCTTTACAGTTTTGTTCACTATAAAATTTTTTAAAATGTATTTTAAATAATATATTTAATAAAATAGAATTTCAATAAATGTTAATAATAAAAACTATTAAGTATATTATTTGTATTTTAGTTTTTCAGTGTATAATATTTCCGAAAATATTATGCTTGAGTTTTCCAATGACTGATTCTATTACAATTAACAAATTGCAGTTTGAATTTTTAAGGAAATTTCTATAGTCAAGGTGTCTAGACTCAATGATAACTTAAATAACAGGAAGCCAAGGATTCACAAACTCAAATACACATTCACTGTGCCCTTCATATTATAGGAAAGTGCATCATTGAAACATCAAGTGTTTTGTAATTTTGGTTTTTTTTTTCCTTCTTCTTTCAAATAATAACTTTTTAGAAAGCATGAGAAAACAAGGAAGGAATAAGTCAAAGAAATCCGTAGGCTCAAATGGAAGCTAGAAAAGTGATGTTACAGACCTGAGGCACTAACGACACTAAAGTGTCATTTTCCTCATTCCTAAATTTAAATATTTTATGTAGTGCTCATCCTTGAGACGTAAGCACAGACCAAATGCATTAATGTGCTATTCATGGATTCATGGACTCGGATCTCCAATTCACCGAATGTTCTCCTCATTTCCAGGACAAAGAATATTACTCAGATCCCAAGGTCAACAAAATCCCCCTGCACCTGCTGTGCCACAATTACTCCTTCCCTTCTCCAGATAACACAACAGAAGGCCAAGAGATTCAGGTGAGTCCTTGGTGTAATTATCTCATCACCTAAACTGCAGCAGTACATGGGCTCTGCCAAGCTGCAGGTCTTCACAGGAAAAAGGAAGGAAACTGAGCAATCCAAGGGAAAAGCTCATGATTCTTATCTGATGTTGCTGCCTTCTCCTTGGTCTTTACATCTTGGGAAATATCATATATGTCTCACAGGAGGCAAATATGGCATTGGGTGCAAAGTTGACACATTATACACCTTCCCATCCTATTCCTTGATATAACCAATCTTAATGTTTTAAACTTAAAGTAATCAAATATGTACACGTGCCACACATGTATTCTGTGCTCTTTAATGATTTTGTACACCTGCTGTGCACATTCTGTGCATGTACTATGCATATCAATAGTTGTAAACATAAGAGAAAGTAAAGGAAGATAATATCTAAAACAGTGAAGGAAGACAATTTCTACTAAGATCTATTCCACGTCTAGACACTCACAAATCACTGTACTAACACTTCTGCAAATGATCCTCAAAAAATTGTATAACACAAGCTACAAACACTACACTAAGTATCACATGCAATTCAACCTGAAGTTTTTTACGTGTTTTAATGTGATGCTCAATTGTTTTTTCCTAGCCTGAGGTTCTTCTGAAAGTGACCATAGGCATGCTGGTTGGCTGGAACAATACGCTGGAGCATGTAATAATAGATCTTGCTGATCTGGAGTCAGTCCCTGGTGTTGGTGCTTTCATATCTAAAATCAGAAAGATAATTGAAAATTCCACAAAACTCACAAAACTCCTAGAGGATGTTAAGTCATTACTTAATCTGGTAAGTTCCTGCCTCTTACTACTGTGCTTTTCTCATTCATGAAACCTTGGTACAAACAAATGCATTTGAAGTATCTCTCTTCTGGGAGAATGAAATTGAGGCATGCTAATAGACAGCCTCATGCCTAAGGGGTTGTTATTAACTCCAACTTTCTCAAAGGTGTTTTACTCAGCAGCTTACAGCACAGGGTTCTCAGGAGACAGGAACTTCTCACAGTAATTTGGACAGTGCCCTTCCCGGGCAGAGTGAGATCTTGAGATCTCAGCAGATCTTATCACACCATCCCTGTTCTGGCTGCATCATAACCACCACATACAGTCCTCATCATCTCTGTGGCTTTGTTTCTAGATATTACATGGTGAGTACATTTGATTGCAAGCAATAAAAGGAAAATGATGAACTAACAAAATCAAGATGCACAAATGGTATCTCAGAGACAACAGCAAAGACATAGAAAAGGTCCTTCCTAGGAGAGTTGACACTAGTTCTTCTACTGTCCTTCACCCAAAACCACGTCTACAGTCAAGTAGCAACTTCTGTCTATTTTTTGTAGAGACATTCTCCATCTAGGACCAGCTGCATGTCAAAAATATGTGTGGGGGTCTTGTGTCTAGTTCTTAAATAACTAGCAGATCTATGACTACCTGTTCTAGACTCTTGAAAATCCATATTTTGGGCTGAAGATTTCCTTTCCTAATTTTCTCCCAAATCTTTATTCAACATTTATAAGCACAGCAGAATAATAATTATTAACAGTACAATTAATAAATGCCTATCCTTTGGTAACTAGGTTCGCCTTGAATTTGAGGAAGATGAGGACTACCCTGCCTCAGCTGGATTGCCATCTTCACATCTGTTAAAAGAGTCCTCTCGCCTTCGTTTCTATCATATCCTCCTTGGCTGCCTGAAGTACAATGCAGAAAAGATTGACACTCATGTCAAGATCCTGAGATGTCAAATGGTCCCCAGAAAATGTTAAGTCTGCATCCTATCTGTTCTGAAATGCTCAGAAACAGAAGGATGCTACAGCAACTCATCCCTCCAGACATTTTTGTTAATTTTATACCTTTTTAGTGTATACTTAGGAATTAAGGGACTCTTCTTGGAGTATTAAAAACTGATATTTTAAAAATATCCTGTGTGAAAAGACTAATTTTTGAAAGCTTCTTTTGTTCATTTACTAGCAAACATATCAAAAGCATTGAGATATGCCTATCAAAATCTGTCATAAGTAACATGTTTTTCTTGAAAATAAGATGTTATACAACCTAACTCAGAATCACAGTGGGTAAATAAATGCAAGTCAATGAGTAGACTCGATGAGTGAGATATTATTCTACCAGAATATGGAAGTCCTGGGATACTTTATGGCAACTAGCATCCTCCACCATGAGCCAATTTTCACATTGTACTGAGAAAAACCTACAAGTATTATGCACTTCAATATCCCTAAGTTCCATGAAAGTGTCAGTCCAGAAAGTGTTAGGACCCAAAGAGGAAATAACTAGGTATCTGCAAGGGCTCATGCTCCTCCCCGAATTCTCATCTACTCAGCATCATTGTAGATACAGCTACATATTATCTTTACCCAGGGGTCTAACAAGGCTTCTCCTAGCTAATTTTAACTTCATCTGTACACTGATTAGTACTTTTCCCTCATCCTCAGATGCTTCTATTCACTTCCAGTTGTGATGATGTTATATTAATTGAAATCCAGAACTGTTCATTGCTTCTGTCCTTGCCAGAGTATTTCCATTTAATTGACATTATCACAATTGGATGGAAGATTAGAAGAAATAGGCAATTCTTACACCATAGTCTTACAAGCTTTAAAAGCTCTCAACTAAATTCCATCTTAGTGGCAGGTACCTCTCTCATAGAACATACTAATGAGTGCAAAAGATTATTATAAATTGGTATCCCTTAGGATAAAGTACCTTTATCATGAAAGCCTCCCTAGCTAGATTCTCCTACTCCTCAGCTCTGCCCTTTGTGACCTCCTTACCATCTCTGTTTGTTGTCCCATTGCTACAAAAAAACAAAGTGGTTCAAAGAAGTTTATCTACCAACTGATTCATAGGAACTCATTTATCACAAGCACTCACTTCACAGCCATAGATCTGCATGGCTGCTAATGTCTCCATTAGGTTCCTAACAATTTCTCTTTTTCTTTTCTTCCTATGGATACAGAATAGATCAGAAAATCAAATACATTAGAACTAATTTACCTGAAGAATGAAATGCAATTCTTCCCTTGATTTCAACCCTATGTAATTTTCTTTATTAACAATTAACCTGCCCACACACATAGATATTCTCATTAAGGTCACAAATTATAGCACCCAAATTTGCAGCTACAATCCCTAATGTCCATGTCCTCAGTGTGGAAAAGCATGATGGGAGAGAGCATTGCAACCCATTAACTGCCTCAGAGCAAGTGAGAGTCTTTGCTGATTTCAATGCTAGACCTCCTTGAAAGTGAGATTGTCCAGCTGTCTTTCTACACCAAAGAATATATGAAAAGAAAAGAAAGAAAAAAGACTACAAACCCTAAAAATGGGTGAGAGACAGAATGTGGAGTTTAATTGTCATTGAATTACCAAACTCAAGGAAACCTAAATAAATCTATTGTTATTTTTAAACCTAATATCAGATACCATCCTATGTTCTCCTTTACTTCCCTTCTCCCTAGCTTTGCTGATAATTCCAACTATACTGAAATACACTTTGCCTTAGTCTACTGAATTACTGTAGTCCTAGGACAAGCAATACTAGATGATTTTGTATATAAATATTAACGAAAATCTACCATATACCAAAATTGCCAAATTTGCGGGAGCATTGCCAAGCTAATCTTCTTCCCTCAGACCTAGTGTGGTGTTTTCACTCTCATTCCTGCTCCTGCCTTTGACTGCAATGATTTAAATATCTCTGCATAGTACCATACCTTAAACCAATCTATGACCTCTTCATTGCATGTAAAATGTCACCTCTCTGCTATAATTCAGTCTGTTTCCATCAAAGTTGGGAGAGTTGGTGAGATTCATGGATGTTTTAGATGCAAGTTATTGGTTTTCCAATGCATTGAGTATATGTTTCCCACTTAACTTGTTTCATATCGCCTTATATATATTTCTAAAACAGAGGATGGTAAAATATTAGAGGGGAAATTTGACAGTGTAATTTTATAAAATGCAATTTTCAGAGTGTTTTTAACAAGCATGAATACTAGATGTGGGTAAATCACTGAGGAAGAGGTGGTAAAAGGCTCCTGTTCAGTAGAGACATTCCTTGAAATCAAGATTTCAGGGGAGACTAGCACAGATATTAGTGTTTTATATAGACAATGAGCAGTGGCAGAGGACTATAACAACAATGAGCTACCCATACACACAGTCTCTTTCCTTCTCCTGCTCCTTCTTTTTCCTTCTTCATCCTTCTCTTTCTTCTTTAGATTTCAATGTAAGATAAAATTTGAATAAAATATCTTTTCATAGCCAGAATAACAGCAGTACTGTCAAAACAAAACAGAATGAAAGCAAATGTAGAAATTGATTATTTGCATAAAATACCAAATCATCCTTCGTGGGCATTGCAAAGACCAAGACTAAAGTTTAAATATCTGTTCTCTGGGACTTTCAGCTGAATTTTTGAGAAAGGATTTCAAGAAGTACCCATGGTGATTCTAACACTGGTAGAATGGGTGTGCTAAATGAAGAAACAGTGGCTCAAAGCACAGCAAGGAGAGTACTTCACTTGAGACCAGGGCTCTTCCAGAAGTGCATGGCATTGGTGGCTTAGAGAAGATTATAAAGAAGTGATGCACTCCTGATGGACCAAAGTAGGAAGGAAGCAGATATACTAATACATCAAGTATCTTTTTATATCAATGAATCACAACTTCAACCAAAAAGGCTGAGGTTTTAACACAAATAGTATGATAAGAAATTATCAGGTGTCAATAGTCATGTATTAAGCAGATATAATGTTTTGCTATTAAGATTACTGAGATAATAGTTTGGAAATCTCAGGTGGGAAACATTTTTGAGCTGCATGGATGATATGTTAATTTTAGAGATTTACCCATTCAGTGATGGCAAAGTAAAGCAAGACATTTTAATGTCTTAATGCAGGATATCTACACTTCAAAGTAGAAAATACTAATCCGCTTTTTTATGGAAGTGGGAATATGAATCTTGAAGAAAGAGAAGAGTCAAGGGACAAGTTGGTATGCAATGTTGGCACTCTAAATAAATTTAACAAGTTCTGAAAAGACATAATGCTTATGCAGACATCAGCATTCCATGGCTCTGTAGGCATTGTGCTAGATGGAACGTCAAGGAGATCTCAAAAAATGAAACCAGAAGAAAATAATAAATGATAGAAAAATTCAAGAGAAGTGGTCATTTGGCCAATTAAATTTATGAGGAATTATACATGAACTTGGCTTTCTTGTATGGCATGGACTTTTGTGACCACTTTCTCCATCACAAAAGTGAGTAGAGTCAAATGGCACTCCTAAACTCTGTAGTCTAAAAGAACCAAAGTTTCAACTTCCCTGTGATTGTCATTTGTCCCTTTCAATGTCTGAATAAAAATACATTGTAAACAGCAGTGGAAGTGTAACACAATGTGAAATGAACATCACAGAGCAGCCCTAAATGGACTCTGCTTAACTGCAACTGTAATCCACTCTCCAAAGAATTTATTTTAGTATGGATCTGAATCATATGTCCAAAACCTAATGTTTGATGCCTTAATCACCACCCTGTGACACTGGATGAAGTATCTGAACATTGAAAAGGTGAAACTTGGAAGGAGGATGTCTACATTCCTGAGGATGTACCTTTAATGAAAACTGGGATAATATCCCCTCCCTCTTTCAGTATCTCTCTTCCCTCTTTCCCTTCATTCCTCCCTCCCTCCTTTCCTCAACCCCCTCTCTCTTTCCCTCCCTTACTCTTCCTTTCCATCTCTCTTTAAAACTAGCATGGCATGAGTAGGCTTCTTCTATCTTGTGATACCACCATAATATACTTGATAATCATAGGGTAAGAGCAGTGGGAACAAATAGCCATGAACTGAAACTGTGACTCAACATGAAATTTCCTCCTTTAAAGATTATTTCTCGCCGGGCGGTGGTGGCGCACGCCTTTAATCCCAGCACTCGGGAGGCAGAGCCAGGCGGATCTCTGTGAGTTCGAAGCCAGCCTGGGCTACTGAGTGAGTTCCAGGAAAGGCACAAAGCTACACAGAGAAACCCTGTATCGAAAAACCAACAAAAAAAAATTATTTCTCGGGTCATAATAAAGCAAAACTGACTAATAACATCTTTTACAAGATCCCTCTTTGATGGGCTTCTGCGTCTTAATCTCATCAGATAGTTTATTAATCACTAATTAAATACATTTAGACATTTACTGCTGAGACACCAGCAGCTGGCCAAACAGGTGAAAGATCTGCAGGCAGGCCACATCACCACCACTGCCACCCAGTGAACTCTGTTCCCAAAAGATCCACTCGACTGCCCAAACCCATCTACTCCAGTATCCTCCCCTTGGCTAACCATCCCCTACAACATCAGCATCTCCTATAGGCACAAGCACCACCTACACCAGTTAGAAGAACAGATGGGTAAAGACCGGTATAAGAATACATTCAACAACATAAAGGGCAAAATAGCATCATCAGAACCCAGTGGTCCTACAACAACAAGACCTGAACATCCCAAAACACATGAAGCAGAAGAAAAGGACCTTAAAAATAACTGTATGAAGATGATAGAGGCCCTTAAAGAGGAAATGAAAAATTCCCTCAAAGAAGTCAAGGAAAAGACAAACAAAAAATTGGAATAATCAATACATCCCTTAAAGAAAGCCAAGAAAAAACAATCAAACAGGTGAAGGAAACAGTTCAAGACTTGAAAATTTAAATAGAGGCAATAAAGAAAACACAAACTGAGGGAATTCTGGAAATGGA